ATGTGTAGACCAGGACTGGGAAAAGGAAGTGGAATGCTGGGGTGAAGAGACAGGACTGGGGCAGGGGCAGATGGCACCAGGCTTTTGAGGAACAGAAGCTGAAGTGTCTGTGACTGCGAGAGAAACTTCCCTTTCAGAACAGGAAATGGAACCCACGAGTTCCCTGTCTCCTCACTCCTTTACTGTGAGCAAATCTGTCAAACCCACCAGTAAAGTGCCTCCTCTCCCCGACCAGCACTGCTCCACATAGAGCAGAGGGCCCCACACCATGGAATGACCCCTCAGGGGCATGAAGGAATGTTCACAGGGCCATGCCCAAGCCAATCCCCCAGGGAGTAGAGAGGGAGAAGTGGCCAACCCCACTCCATCCTCAGCCCCACTCTAACCTCAGCCACAGCTCCACTCCACTCCCTGCTCCGTTCCTCCCCAGCCCCACCTCAGTTCCAGCCCCACTCCCTGCTCTGTTCCAGCCCAGCTCTGCCATCCTTCCCTCTTCACTGCCAGGCCAGCTCCACCTCTAGACCAGCTCCTCTCCCACCCTCAGTTCTGCCCCCAGCTCCATCTTCAATCCAAATGCCTCTGCTGAGCCCACTGTGCAGTAATGGAGTGGGGGGCACAGACCAATTCCATTACTGGTAAGGCAAGATAGAAAACATCTGGGCACCACTGACATAGCGGATGCCAACCTACTACAGCAATCAATTACTGCATTAGCTCAAGTGGCAGAGGCCTCTGCAGTGAATCTAAATGTTCCAACCCTGCTGACAATTCATGTGTGTGTCAATATGATGCCACATGATGGAATTTCTGCTTTTTGTTTTTAGTTTGCTTTAAAAAATGAAAAACTATTTTAAAACAATATTAATAACATTACAAGTCAAACATTCAAAAGTTAGGAAACACCAGATCTATGTTTGTTCGTGCAGACTTATTTCTGTCCCCTGCTATGACAGGATAGATGGGTACTCAGCTATTAAATATTTTGTTTGTCCTGATTGCACGAAGTGTAGCTACATGGCTTACTTATGACATACTTCTCAAACCCTACTCTGAATACAAAACTGTTCATTTCCTCGTGGGCATTTCTATGCATTCATCACAATAGGAGCTGACTGCTCCACAAACATCACTGAATTTCTTTCCAGAACAGCCCTGTTAAATGAGGTAGTTTTATTATCCCCTTTTCACAGACAGACAGAACATAGAGATTAAGATGCAGTGTTCAGTAGTTCTGAATACTCAGTTTGTGATACCTAGAGCTGATTTGTCAGAGTTATTAGCATTATATGGCACCTTTTATGTTCAAAGCATAGCTCCCAGCATAGCTTTGAGTAGTTAGCACTTCAGCAAATCAAACTTCAGGTACCTCAGATTGGCCACCTAGAGAAAATGAGGAATGCCCAATTCATAGCCATCTATGAAAAGTTTGCTTTCCATGATTTGCCTATGGCATCAAATATGAACTCTGTCTCTTTCTCAATATGCTTTTAACATTCTGCAACCAATGATTGTGAAACAAACTATAAATAAGTCTCCTTCATTATATAACCCTCCTCTCTACACCAGACCCATCCTTTATGATGAAACAAGGGGTCCTGTGGGAAAAATGAACTGTGATAATGTAAATATGGATTGTATCCTAACACACATGCAAAAGGGGCCTGAATTATAAATTTGCACAGGCATTTCCTAACTATGGAGTGCAGAATTTTGCAACCTAACATTCTTTAAATTAGGGATGTAAAGATTTAACCGGTTAACTGGTCAGCATTGCCTTACCAGCATGCTTACCAGGGTAACCGGTTAACCAGCTGGGTAGGGGGACTGCTCCAGTACCCCACCGCTTTCCCCATGTATAGTGGGTGCGTTAACCAATTAAATCTATAGTTTAACTAGCTAATAATTTACACAGGATTTTATATCACTACTTCAAATATAATGTTGGATATATTTATGCTATAGTATTAATCTTATGTTATATATCAGACACCTAATCCTACAACACATACACTCAATCACCTTTTCATTCATTACACCCAGTCATTTTTAATCTAGATTTACCTTACATGTGCTCAACTTTATACAGCGTGAGTGGTCTTATTGACTTCACTGAGACGACTTACAGTATGTCAAGTTAAACATTTGCAAAAGTTTTTGCAGTTATCAGGGCCTGAGACTAAGATCTTCAGGGCAGATAATGTCTTTTACTGTGTGATTGTAAAGAGCCTCTAGCCATTCATGGAGAATGAATAAATAATAACATGCCACCATGATTAATTTCATTCACAAACCACATTTTAAGCATACACTAAGTCAAAGGGTTCCTATCAATTGAAATTGCATTCCTCGGTCTGGCTAAGAAGCATGGATTATAACTGCTACTGGCTGGTAGGGATTAAAACTCCCAAAGACTTGATCAAACTTGACTTTAACATCAAATCAGTGCAAGTCTTTGAATTTTCTGCTTTCTGGTATCAAAGCAATTCTTTAATTCCAATTATGAAAGCAATACAAATATTTTAATATGTTCAACTATTTCGCATTAGATATTTGTTTTGGAAACTGCATTGAAGTTGATATAGTGGAACTGCAAAGTAAGCTTTATTTTGTCTTACATTCTGCAAGTCTCAAGTTCCCATATGTATTTATTTATATATATTTATTAATAAAATATAAGAATAAGGGAATACTCTTCAGGCATGTAGGCCTAAAACTAGCTGTGGTTTGGTTTGCAGGCACACTATTTCCCATCACACCACCATCCTTCCACAAGTCCATATTGCATTCCTAGTCTCTTCTCATGAAAAGGGTGTTGAAATATACAAGACCTCTGAATTGGAAAGTGGCAGAAAAACAAAATTCTTGTATATTTCATTAGCCTGCCTGCTCATAAGAAGACCAGACACAGAGTAGAGAGATTAAGACAGACAGACAGACACACACACACACACACACCTTCAGATCTGCCTTCCAGAAAAATGTGATTTTTAACTTTTGCATCGGTCAACTCTCTCACTGTCCCACTCATGGTATTTTTCATAATGTTTTGTAAAATTTAACCCTAGTCTTTAATGAGGCAGGCCTTTCTTCATTATGTGACAAATTTTATTTAGACTGATTTAATAAAATACTGCTTACACGACAAAGAACACAACAAGAAGCACTAGAAGAAACAATTTGCATAGCCAAATAATCATGAAATGAAAGGTGATATTTCTAATACGGAAATACTCAGAAAGCAAAATATATGCCAAAATAGCTCCATTGCCATGTGGCATGAGCTTTAGAAGTTGAAACCCACACACTTCCCTAAGTAAAACATGTTGCACGTGAATAGATTTTTTTTTTTAAATCAAACACACTCAGAAGAGCAAGAGCTGTAAGCCACAAATAAAATATATAAAGGAATTTTTTACTACTGGCATGACATTACCTTCAAAGTGATGCTGCATCAATACCTCTCCCTCCCTCTCTCACACACACATGCCTTTATAGATAAACGAAAAGTTAAAACAAGCTTACATTGCACTCAATTAGGTAGTGTTTGAATGCAGATTTGAATTCAAATAAGACCTTTCAGAACATTTTGAATATCCACTTAATATTCCAAAGTACAGTTCCTTGAGGTTTGATCACTTGCCACAAAAATGTAAATGTGTTATTTCCCATCATGAAACTTAGAGCATCAGTGGTCTAACTGGAATCTTTAGTATTACAAGATACTGATACTCTGTAAGCAGGTCGTTTTTGTTCCTTGCTGCAAAAATGAATCCAGATTGTGAATTTTACCTGCCGCTTTTCATGGGATTATGTGTTTGCTTTCTTATCAGTGATCTTCAAGTTAAATAATTTATTTTGCATGCTTCAGTAATGGTGCTTCCCCCCTCATTTCAGTATATTTTCTTTTTGCCTTATGCCTTAAAATTAATTCTGCCTTAAAGCTTGTTTTATTTTGCCACTTACACAGATATTCAAAGTTTACTGAGATTTAATGCTCCTTTAGGCATGCCAAAAAGTTTGTCTCTGGGATTGTATAAATTCATCTGGCAATCTGTCTGGTTGGCCATCTGGAGAACATTTCAGAGCAAAAAGCATGGAGCAAAACCCTCCAGTAAGGACAACCCTGAGCCTCCTGAGACTTCACTACGTGTCACTGATGACTCCTGCAAATAACTAGCCTTGTCCAATTTTCAGTATTGCACAACTCCAAATACTCTCCTGCGCCCCACGTCCAAATCGCATTAAAGAAACATTTTCTTGTTTGCAGTCAATGAAGTGGCCAGCCCAATACCTGACCAGTGTTCTAAACTTTTCTCCTTAACAAGGGGGAGAGAAATGAAGGGGAGCTGCAACACCCAGAAATAAAATTAAAACCCTGTTTTCTGGATGAGCATAAATGCAGAAAGAAAACAGGACAGGCAGGAACCCAAAGCTTTGCAGATCATCTGATCTGCCTTTATAAAAGGCAGCAAGAAACATCTGGACTCAAGCAGCCCAGCCCCAGCCTGGGCACCCTGTCAGGGGATGCAATGTGCAGCAGTTGGGCAGAAAGTGCCGCGCACACTGACCCGATGGAAGTTGCGGGCAAGGCAAGGGGACGCGGGGGACTGACCCCAGCGCACCCGACACCCTATTTTTGACACTGCCCTACAATCACGTGACGCTCTCCCTTCGCCGAGAGGCCAGCGCCGCCTCAGTTTCCCCCCTTGCCCTCTCACCTGCAGTCTCTCCGTGGCCGGCTGCCACATCGCTGCGCCTGGCGGGTTGCGCGGGGAGAGGCGGACGCTGGTGCTCGCGAGCAGGGGGCTCAGGGCGCCAGGCTCGCTCACATCTGCTGGCGCTGCGATCCCGGGGCAGACTCCAGCGGCTGCGCGCCTGGGACCGGGCTCCGCGCGCCTCAGGCACCAGCGAGCGGGACGCAGCGCTCCGCCGGCGGCCGCCCCTGCTGCAACAGCAGCACCACGGCCTCTGGCCCCGCCCCCGGCTCCGCCCCCGCGTCTCTCCCTCCTCCCGCCGCCCAGACGGGCTGCGCACCGGTGAGCCCGGCTCCGGCCGCTTCCTTGGCGCGCGCCGCGGCTCCGCTCCCTGCAGGCGTGGGAGGCGGCGGCTGCACCCAGCGCGCAAGCACTGGGGTTGGCATGAGACAGGCACGTACCGCCGGTGGCCAGCCAGTCTCCGTAGCCGGCTCGTGGGAGCGTGGGCTATGCGTGCCGCCTGTAGCTTGCCCAGAGCGCGCCAGGGCGGCCAGACTCACCGCCCACCTTGCCGTGCACGACCCTAGGCCCCACCTGGCTGCAAGGGAGTAGGGCGCCTCTGTGGGCTGCACTTTCAGGGCAAAAGTGCCGCGTGTGGCTCGCAAGCCGCAGTTTGTCCACCCCTGACAAATATGATCTAGAGACTTAGTACTGAGGGTCAAATCCTAGGCAGCTACCAGCGCCACGAGACACGTTTTCCGATCGACTTTGTAAGGCTTCGTTAGCATGCAGCCCATGTTCGTGCCCAGGCTGTAAGCATTTATACTTAGGACAATTTAAAAATGCAAGTAACTTAAAGATGCCGATTAATATCAGGCAGAATATTTGCTGATGTCTCAAATAAATAAAGTAGATTGATTATGTCCAGCTGTGACATGAACTCCCTCCTGAAACATTACATGCATAACAGTAGGTGAGTGTAACAGAGACATCTACTGGTTAGTGGTGTAGCTTGTTTTCTCAGGGGCACAGGTCTTCCCCTGGACTTGTGTAAAACATCTTGGGTGTAGGCGGGCCTATAGTTTAATAAAGGATCATTCTTATACTAAATGGCAATGTTATTTTCTTCTTAAGCCCTTTAAAACAGTGTCTCTCTACCTTTTTTATAAAGTATCCCTTTTTTAAAATAAAATAAGTACCCCCAGTACCTACAGTTTTCAGACACACAAAACTTTTTTCTACAATTGCAACACCTTTGTTTAAACAATCGTAGCTGGGCGGGTGATGAAATTGTTGGGTGTAAAAAGTACAAAAATAATAAAGCGCTGTAAAACTTAAAACAAAAATTCAGTTTTCTCCAAATGGGAGCAGCATAGTATTTCCGCAAAAAGCACTGATTTCTTACAATAGGAAATCAGTGCTTTTGCAGAAATTCAAGCGGCCAGTGTAGACAGCTGGCAAGTTTTTCCAGAAAAGCGGCTGATTTTCCAGAAAAACTGGCCAGTCTAAACACAGCCATTGTGTAGGGTATCACACCTACCTTTTGACCTCATGGATGTGGTGTGTTTTCAGAGCACAGGGATTAACTGATGTGGTCACAGTAGCAGTGCAGTTAGTTGACTACCCCACTGTATTTTTCAAATTTATGATGTATTCCAGGCATACCAGTGTCTCTGAGGCTGCTTCTTATTTCCGTGCCTAATGCAAAGAGATCCTGTAATAACAGAAAATCCATGTGGGGAGTATGCAGTGTAGGTAGCTTTACTGGGAGATGACCTGACATCATATCCCTGACAAAACGTCTGTTGTATCAAAATGAATGAGGAGAGCTAAAATATCATTAAATGGGATAAGGCCTTAAATTCTGAGCCCCTGCTTGTGCTGTGGGGTCATAAAATTGCCCATGGCAGTTTTCCCGTGAGATGTAATTTGCCCCTATCCTTGGCCAATTCTTCCTTGTCTCTCCTACCCAACTGTACAATCTCTCTGGGATACACAGCAATACTACAGCATAAATACATTGATGTACTGTGATGATTGCTTCCTGGGTCTTGCTCTAGAGTGGCTGCATTTCAGTGGTGCTGTATTCATATCATTAGCTAAAAAGAGTTCTGGATTGTTTGGGAAGGTGCGTAAATTCTGCAATGCCCAGAATTTCTCCTTGGGATTATTAAAATTAAAACAATCTGCAGCACACCTTGAACTTTATCTATAAATATGTCTATATTGTATACAGGCTGCAATAGTTCATTTTCCATTCATTATATCCCACCTCCATCCACTTGCCAAGGAAGGGAGGGAGAGAAAATGCATTTGGTTCATGCACAAAAAAAGTAGCTAACATTGACCATGAAGAATTTTGAGTCTATCATTTGCAATAGCTAACAAAAAGACAGAAATCCAAAAATTCTAAACCTTAACAAGTATGAGAATGGCAAATTAAGGTGATCTAAGAATATTCGATAAACGCTTTTGTTCATAAATTTGCTTAGCAATACTGACATGCAAAAATTCTCATGCCTGCAGGCACTTTGAGTATATCTATTGCAACACATGGGGCTCAGACTCCAGAACTAAAACATTACATTGTAGATATTCAGGCTTAGGCTGATGCTCAAGCTCTGAGACTTTTCTCTCCGCATATCCAGATATCCATTTGATAGCCCTGCAATGTGAGCCCTGCAAACATGAGTCACCTGACATGTGCCAGTCACAGGTGTTTTATTACGGTGTACATCTAGCCTATAAGGGTACATATACTGTGACAACTAAACCTGGGGTTTGAACTCAGGTTCAAGCCTAACCCCCTTCCATAAGCACATACAAATTGCACTAACCCACTATGTAGACCCAGGGTCCCAGGTCCAAATCTGAGTCAAGCCAAGACCTAGGGCTCAAAGCTTATTGCTTTGCAGTATAAATGCAGACTCATGGAACTCATGCTCTGGGAATCTGCCAAAAATATCCCACAAATGTAGTGTGACCATCTTTCCCTCTGCCAAATAGAAAGCACCTGGTAAAATTGCTCTAATTTAAGTGAGATCAACAGAAATCAATCAGAGCTCTGCAGCACAAATGTTCAAAATAGCATTAAGTTGCCTCAGCCCCCATTAAAAGACACACTGCATTATTATCTCTATATATATTTTAGAAACGTGCATCTGTCTGCCCGTCCCTCCATCTGTGAAATGCTGGCAGTTCTCCAGTGCTAGCCCCGATGAGCCGCTACTACTACATTTACCCGCACCTCCACAAGTAGGTGCATTCGTAGCTCCTATTGTCCAGGAACAGTGATCTGCTGACAATGAGAACTATAATCTTGTGTACCTGCCAAGGCGGAAGTAAATACAGTGGTGTGGGGGCCGACCGGGAGCTAACCCTGGCAGATTGGAACTGGCCCATGGGTTGGTATTTGTCCATGCCTGTCCTAAATAAGGATGTGCTCATAGGCTCATAGACTTTAAGGTCAGAAGGGATCATTACGATCATCTAGTCTGACCCCCTGCACAATGCAGGCCACAGAATCTCACCCACCCACTCCTGGAATAATCCTCTCACCTATATCTCAGATACTGAAATCTTCAAATAGTTTAAAGACCCCAAGATGCAAAGAATCCTCCAGCTGTGATCCATGCCCCATGCTACAGAGGAAGGCGAAAAATGTTAAAATGAGGTTATCAGGCTAATCATATGGTCGATACAACTTGTATTGACTATACAATTAGTCAATGGGACCTCTCTGCAGACACACAGCGGGGGGTAGCTTCAAAAGCTAGTTCGAGCTGGGACTGAGCAGTCCTGGCTTTTGCCGGCTCCAGGAGCCACCAGGCTCTTACTACATTTAAAATGCAGAGGCGCAGTGATCAGTGTGAGCCAGGACTGCTTGGTCCCGGCTCGTGCTGAGTCCAGCAGCCCCTGTTTGTGGCGGACAGAGTCGGCCATGGGCAAGGGCTCCTCCAGCAGTAGCAGCCCCTATCCGTGGCCACCTTTGTGGCTAGCTGCTGCAAATGGGCTGCTTGGCAGCAGCCTCCCTCTGTCCCCCGCCTGCTGCCTCTGATAGATGCAGTAGGGGCACAAGGTGATGCCCTGGAGACTGTGCTTTTAAGCTGGTTCCCCCTCAGCACCGGCCCCTGTTCTCCCCTTCCCCCTGAGGCAGCAAGGGAGGGGGCGCCACAGGGAGCAAGGGGCCAGCAGGGACTCAAGCAGGCCCTACTGGCCCCATGTTCTCATAGAATCATAGAATACTAGGACTGGAAGGGACCTCGAGAGGTCATCAAGTCCAGTCCCTTGCCCTCATGGCAAGACCAAATACTGTTTAGACCATCCCCAATAGACATTTATCTTATCTCACCTACTCTCAAATATCTCCAGAGATGGAGATTCTACAACCTCCCTGGTCAATTTATTCCAGTGTTTGACTAGCCTGACAGGAACTTTTTCCTAATGTCCAACCTAAACCTCTCTGCTGCAGTTTAAGCCCATTGCTTCTTGCTCTATCCTCAGAGGCCAAGATGAACAAGTTTCTCCCTCCTCCTTATGACACCCTTTTAGATACCTGAAAACGGCTATCATGTCCCCCTCCCCCGGTCTTCTCTTTTCTAAACTAAACAAACTCATTTTTCAGCCTTCCTTCATAGGTCATGTTCTCTAGACCCTTAATCATTCTTGTTGCTCTTCTCTGGACCCCCTCCAATTTCTCCATATCTTTCTTGAAATGCGGTGCCCGGAACTGGACACAATACTCCAACTGAGGCCTAACTAGCACAGAGTAGAGCGGAAGAATGACTTCTCATGTATTACTCACAGCACACCTGTTAATGCATCCCAGAATCATGTTTGCTTTTTTTTGCACCAGCATCACACTGCTGACTCATATTCAGCTTGTGGTCCACTATAACTCCTAGATCCTTTTCTGCCATACTCCTTTCTAGATAGTTGCTTCCCATTCTGTATGTGTGAAACTGATTGTTCCTTCCTAAGTGGAGCACTTTGCATTTGTCTTTATTAAACTTCATCCT